ATGTTGCTGGGTGTTGATGGCAGTTGTTGCGCAAAGTTTGAAACCGGTCAAACGTTGCACGTAGCTTAAGAGGTGGTAATTATTCACAACGAGAAAAAGAGGTAGAAAAATGCTAAAAAATAAAAGTCTTCTTGGCCAAGTAAGCATCAAATTAAACTAAAGGGAAACTACCGCCTACGGGAAAATAGCGACAAACCATGTTTGAAGAAATAAGAAGGTAAAACAGACAATATATATAATAAGGTTGCTGTAATCTTTCGTCAGAATATGCAGTAAGTTACCGCATGACAGACAATCTTTTCCCGCTTTTAAGTGATGTATTATGTCAGAATCCTTAGCAAAAGTGAGAACTGATCGACGGCCCCTGTCATTTCGAAGAGAAATTGGCTCCACATACTACAAGGGCCTTGGAGGCAATGGAGCCAATGTAAGTGCTGGAGTTGATGAGCTTTTTGACATGCAATTGATCGATATTAGGGTTTACCTGCACGAAGGCTTTTCCCCAGTATCAGGTAATCAGCCTTGATAGCACTTCTCAAGCGACGCATGTTGAAACTTGCTGTTATGTTGTTTGAGGCAAAGAACGGAACCTCTACCAATGTTCCACGAACAGAGGACCAGCAGCCGGTTTGGTGAAATTTCAGAACCCCATTGCCGTCAAAAATCTTGAAATATTCACTGTAGTAATAACTACGTGACAGAATATATATCAGGCCGTTAACAGAATTGATTCCTTCTCATTTTCTTTACAAGATATGAAAGTATGTTGTTTACGGACAAGCACTCGAATGAGGTAATCTATGAACTTTCATATCCCGTTTAATTACTGCTCTTCTTATCTCTTGGTCCAATTTAGCACATGATAATAATAATAAAAGCTACTCAAACTGAATAACAAAAAGGCTGTACTACTAACCGAACTTATAAGGTCTTGCAATTAACCAAGGTTTAAGTGGCTCCTTCCCTCCAGAATTCAATCATGGTTAATATGGTCCCCAACACTTAATACAATAGTGCTATTTGAATTTTGGCACTGGGTGGCATCCGATTTAGTAAAGTAACAATAACAATGAATACCTGCAGTAACGAAATTTGATCGTTTGGATTAGAAAGAGACCAATTGCCTGAGGGATCTCGGCATTCCCGATTGACCAGGAGCAGTATAGACTTGTGTAATCGGAATGTGTCACATTTATAGCACCATATGATTGATTGACCGCTACCCTGCAAGCTGTTAAGACTCGATGATTAGGAAACAAATAACAATAATGAGATAATGTTTAAGACCATTCTACGGAGTTCGCGCTTTCAGCGCTGGATAAAAGCACTGGGGATGCACTTTTACAAGGTTACTCTATCATCTAAAGTGAATAATATTTCACAACCACTAGAGAGGAGAACAATTTTATGTATTGCTTATTTTTAAATTTCAGGGAACTTAATGTCAGTATTTGTTAATATTTATATTAATTTTTTTGTTATGTGATTCCATATAAATATGTCAATTTATTCACCTGAAAATCTAAAAGGAGATGGGACGACTTTGGTTAGGTCGCCATAACGATTGTTCATAGTTTTGGTTATTGTGTGTACGTTATTATTTTTGTGTATGCGAGGAGCTCCTTGAATATTTTATTGGACGGCGAGTAAACGAAGATGTTTTTTACTTTTATCCGACACCAATGTCAAAATTTAGTATCATTTTTCGTTAAATAACGCTCTGACATAACATCTTCGATCTTGGACTTTACGCCGACTGACTTAGTACCAATGCATTTCTTTCTTGTTTACTTTACATTCCTTTTATTTTTGTTTCTTTTTTTTTTTTCCTTTTACTCTCTCTTGATGGATACAGCTACTGTTCCGGAATAAAACTTTACCTAAGTAATATCCAAATTTATCAGTCTTCATAATATTTTACCTGTTGTAACATAGTAAAGAGAGGAACGCGGCCCTTCGCCCTTGGGTGTAAACGCCGCCACAGAAATATCATATCGCTGAGCCGGTCCTAATCCTGTTATCAATGCCCAAGTCACATTAGGACTGCTGGTGATTACACCGCTTGTATTAAATGGATTTAGATAATAGGCGCTCCTTCTGAAGTAAATTCTATAGCCCAACAATCGGCCGTTGTGAAACCTCCGAGGAAGAGTATTCCAAGTAACTTTGAACTGCGTTGCTGTTACTTCAGAGAAGGCTATATCGCTAGGAGCACGACCAGGAGCTAGAGAGAAATAGAACATGTAAAGCTGTTACACAGCGGGACATTTGCATTTTTTAACTTCTTATTAGAAGTTTTCTGCCGTTAGCACCCTAAAAATGCACTAAATAATAATAATAATAATAATAATAATAATAATAATAAGAGAACGCCGACAGTTTTTGTTTATTTTAAGCTTAAGCCCTATTCAGACTAGGGGTGCCGGGATCCCCCACCTCCCCCCAAAAAAGAATAACGTGGCATTTTGCATTTTGACAACTTCCTATGTTCACGCTCGGATAGATTGGGGGAACATAGTTAATCAAAGGTAATCATAACCAATCGTTTTACGTGCGTTTATTAAGTGCATTTCACCCCAATTTGTTTTGGAATAGAATAAAAATAGAAAACTTGTAATAAACAATGCCAAAGATTGTTTTTAATTTCAGCCTGATCTCTGAACTTTTTACAGACTTGAAAATATGTAGGACTAATATCTTAGGCCGTGACATTTTGGACCTGGGTCGAATAACGCATTTTGGGGCATTGTTCTCCTTAAAATGCCCAATACGCATGTCAGTCTTCCACGTCTTGTGGGATTAGGTCTCTTAAAAAGTGAATCCACGTTGTTTACATATTGATCGTTCTTTTTCCATGTCACATTTCGTTCAATTTGTCGGATGTTGGTGAATTTTTCTGGAGCTATTTGTCTTGTGTTTACGTCCTCCACTGACGTGAAATTAGGAAGTTACATGTCGTGGTCGTGCAACGACAGCATAGAAATGTACAAAAAGCGTGATGCACGTCAAAACTGTTGTTCTAATAATCAAAACCTATTAATTGTTTCTTTGCCGTTCTCGTTGCTTTCGTCGTTGCATAGTCTTAGTTGAACCACCATCTTCCCGTCTAAATAAGATGTCTCACTCGGAAAGCATGTCATGTGTCGATTCTGACGACTCGGGATGGAATTTTATTCTTCGGTTGTACCGAATATCCGGTAAAAATTCCAAGAAAAAGTTATGACCCAACCTAGTGAGCGAGCGGAGAAGCTGAGTATGACGATGTTGCAATTCCTTACGCGGACGAGTCTTTGGGCCAGGCAACAGTTTTTGCAATAGTGCAATAGAAAGAGAGAGAGAGAGCGAGCGAGCGAATGAATGGGAGTCAAGGCAGAAGCTACAACTAAGCGAGGCGGAGCTAACAACAATGCCTCAAAATACGTCATCGTTTCACTCGACCCAGGGGACTATCTACCTGGCCTTCTGGCTCAAGTAGACAAATTTCGTACTCTTTAATCGAGCATAGAGTTCACTAGTTTTATTCGATTCACGAAAATTGTACTTCGTTTTAAAGCTGAAAGCGCCCAGAATTCCTCCAAATTTTATCAATTTTGGGGTGTTGTGCAATTCAAAAGACCTTAATTAACATTTCCCACAAAAGATTGATGTCCGAGATCAATAGGCCATTTCCGAGTTCCGAAAACTCTCACTATCGAGGCTTAGTGCAAAATCTTTGTTACGAAAATGAGTTTTATTTTAAATAAAATTTAAAAAATCGTTTTAAATCAATGGATTCGCACTTGGCCTCGCTTTGAAACAGAAGCTTAAGGCAACTCGTGCAAGGCCTTTTGTAAGTGGGTTATAATTAGAAACTGGGCTTTGACAAGCATAGCTAGTCTATTTGCTACGGTAATGTTATGAACATACCCGATTCCTCAGTCCACTCTGTTGCCTCTGAACTCTTATAAAATTTTCCGTTATCATTTACACTTAGAACATTGAGTCGATATTCCATATATGGCGACAGCCCATAGAAAACATCAGATGTCGTGTTCCCTTGCAGGATATTTCCATTCACGATGCTTCCATTGCTACTTTTTATGACAGTTATATAGTGAAGAACGCTTTGGCTCAGCAATGCTGATAGATTTTTCCAAGAAACTCGCATACTGGTTGCTGTTTTGTTATCAATAAACAAGCTCCAATTGGACACTAGTCGAGCTAAAAGGAAGCAAGAAAGTTTACAATTGATGATCATAATAATTAGCAATTATTCCACGAGGGTGCGTTGGATATGAGATGATAGATAGCCAACGAGGCGGGTAGCGCCGAGTTGGCTATAATCATCTCATATCCAACAAGCGCGAGTGGAATAATTGTTTTATTAAAAACGCCCACAAAATCTCGTTGAATCTCCCCGACTAGAACAAACCGGAAAAGACAAGGGACTTCCGCTATTCACATGTCACACGTCTATCAAAACTGTCAACGCGCGAACGGAATCGCCTGGACTGCATGAATGAAAAATCAAAACATTGTGGCGATGAACATTAGTTTTTTAAAAACTCATCGGGATTCTAGGATTTTACACAGCAGAACAGCTAAAAAAACCTGGAAGATAAAGTGAAGGAAAATAATTTTTAAGTGACAGCCGTCGAAATTAGTGTGAATTTGGATTTTCGGTGCAGTTATAAAAGTAAGAACTACAGAGAAAAACTATTACTTCAGTCGCTAGTTATAAAGTTTTTTGAAGCCACAAGCTGATTTTGATGAACGAGAAAAGAAGTTATACTGCCGCCTCGATTGCTCTAGTGAATGGCTGCATAGCCTGTATTTGTAGCTGGTTACTTCTGATTTTTACTCTTGATGTCGGATAAACAAGCCGCAGTTATCTATCGGCGAGTGACTCGATCGGCGAATGGCTTCGCGATCGTGAAGAAACAACACTTGTCTTCTTTCGTAGCTGGTCAAGGTATTTTAGTTCCATGTGTTTTCATGTGTTTTTCGACAAACTTTCAAACAAGCTCTTGTGGCTTTTTTGTTTGTTTTTGTATTTTTTTTCTTTCGATGAAATTGCATTTCTAGTATTCTAAGAAATGAATTAAAACGATTTGCTTCGGCCGCCGTTCTATCCTTCGCGAAAAAAAATCTCGGCTTGCTTCCACTTTTAAACTGACGCGTACACCGACCATATATGGAGAGCATGGTATAATAGCTCATATACCATAACGGCTAAGCCAATCAAAATGCTAGAATTGCATTATCCAATGATTCAGTTTTTAATAAAAGAGATTATACAGCGATGGTGAAGTTCAAGAACACTAAATTTCACAATCATACGCAACGCAACAGGGATCTTTTTTGCATGAGCATGTGCACTAAGACTTGATAAAGAGCATACGACCAGTGACAGCGACAGTGGTGCATAGTCATGGGAACCAAAGTGTTCACTTTGAAAGCTTGCTTGACATTCAAATAGTAGCAGGAACTTAGGAAAGACCTCCGTTGTACAAAATAAGTTACGATCTGGTGATTTTAAGGGGAGACTAATGGGCTGAACGAGGTGAAAGAGCAAGTTTCTCAAGGACGTCTGACACGAACATGGCTGCTTGTTGTTGTTTGGCGATCGATTCGTGTCTTGATTCCCCTTCAAGAACCGCAAAGTATTGCATAAAATGCATTGTTGATGGGTAGATGTTGAGCAAAATGTTCTTTATTTAGTGTTTGTCTATAAATCAGTTTCTCGATGCCGTAGAGGATTTCTGTCAATAATTCAAGTTGTTAGCCATATGTCGGGAGTGGATTAATAACGATCAGCAGGCGACTACCACACCGTTGTCAGTTAGAATAGAAAGGTGTTCCCTTAAGTATTTTAGTGATACAAAGTTTGTTTATCGGAAAATTGTAGAAGTTCTTGTTTTTGGGTGAACTAACATTGCAACGCATCTTGTACAGGAATTTGCTTTTAGCCAGAACTTAAGTGCTCTAAATATTTTTAACTTTTGGTCGGTATCACATGTTTACCAGACTTCTTCGGAAACCTAACCATTTGTTTCATCAAAATCGGTCTCAAGATTCGACTTTAATTCCGGTCCTATTGAATGCAGTTTTGACTGTGCCTCATTGATATTCATTTTTATTTATTTATTTATTATTATTTTCCGTAGCTTAAAAGTGCTGGGAAAATTGGAAAACATATATTAATTCACTGCTGAACTGAACACCGGCTTTTGCGCGCTTCGAACCCACTCACTGAAATCTGCGATGATATTTTCTTAAATATGTGTGATCCTTTCCCATTTCAAAACAAAGAAAATTGGAAGTGTTTACTTACATTAACAAACCTTTCGGCACTTTGTTTATACTTTGATGAGGTCAGGGCAATACTACAAGCACTACATCTACGCGCGCTGTTGTCCAGGTCAAGTGGGAAGTTGAAATTTGATAGCAGCTCGTGGTATGTTAAAGCCGGTTTACTTCGCTTTTGTGGAGACCGTGTTAGAGTTTTTCGCAAACTACACATTTTGTACCCTAGCTCCAGAGGACCGTTCTCAAAATACATAAGACGAAAACTGTGCGTATATCAGTATCGATAAGAAAAAATATCCTTTGGAACCCAGGGTACACATTTTGTTAAATCACGAGCACATTCGCCAAGACCAACGAGCAAAATAATCTCGATGATAGCTTTGACACGGGCCATTTTGAAGAAGGCAGACCCTGTGGTGAGCCTCCATGCAAATCGCTTGTTCAGCGGTCCGCACATACTCATGCAAAAAAGACCCCTGTTTCGCAACACTGCGATTGAGAAAGAATGGCTTACTGCATCTCCTCTAAAACCACGTACCTGTTTTCAACGAACTTTGTGTAAATTACACAATATGTTTAAAATATGTCAGCCATTTAAGTTTAGGAAAAAGATTCGTTAGTTAATATCCTCCAGTGGTTTCAGGGGAATGACTGACTCAAAGTGTTGTAAACCGCCAAGATTTCTAGGTTTTTTTGGGTGACACTGTTGTGTTAGGTAGTTGTTTCAGACGCGCAATACAAAAGCTCGCAATATTAAAGTTACGTCAACTACATAAGGATGAAACTTACCCGATTGCAATCCCTGCGGTAGAATTCCGAATCGAAGCCTGGCATTACTGGAACTTTGATATAGCTTTATTTGAACGGTGATATTTTCTTGGTTTCCAAAAGAAACTTTGGCGAAAGGTTTTTGAGGAGTCGTTGAGTATCTGTAGCGATGAAGCACAGTCGTACCGCTCCCATCGATTATTTTTATGTACTCACTGCAAAATAAAGGAAAAAAAAGCTTATCTTGTCATTAATAAATGTAACCCAGCCATCCTTGACCATCGTTTATTCCCTGAAGCAAACAGTTATTCTTTTCTTTCTTCCTTCCTTCTTTACCTCCTTCCCCCTCTCTCACTTCTTCCTCCCTTTCTTTCCTCATCCTTTCCTCACTCCCTCCATTTTTTCCTTGTCTTCTTCTATAATAACCTCTTTACCTCCTCCCATCAATATGGTGTACCTTTTCCTCGTACAATATTACGGCTATCAAACCCGCGACCATACACTCAACTACTATCCTTCCTTTCACTTATCTATTCTCACTGTCGTTTCATCCTTACATCCTTGCAACCAAGCAAGCAGCCATTTTATTATCTAAATTATCCTCTATCAGTCCATCCATTCATCATTCATCATTCAACACTTTCGCATACTACACAAGTAATACAATAATAATAATAATAAAATTGTGTATCCTTTCCGATGATATCATAGTTTACCAGCTTTAAATTCTGTAGAACAACTCTTAGGCTTGAAACAAAAAAAGACCAAAAAATCTTAGTTATTTATTTCCCTATGGAAGACATTGTTTCGTTTGACTCACTAAAAAGATGACAGGTAGAGATCTTGTATTGAGATAAGTGCAACTGCTTGTTCGATTCCTACATTTCCAATTGACCAGGTGCACAGCAGTGAACCGATATAACCTTTCGGGCCAAATTGTAGCTGGCCAAATGATTGATTTATATATCGTCTGCAACCTATGGAATAACCAATGCCAAGAAGTTAAGGTGGCTCGATACAGTTTGCAGTTCACGTTTGAACCGCAGGAAGGGCTTCCAGTGATTTACGGCAAGGTTTTTGCCACTAAAAACTGAACAGCCTCGCGTTTAAAGCCACTAAGTAGCTTTTTTTTTCCTATCTTGCTACTAAATTCATAACTTAACTCAGTCTCTGTTTAGGTCCTATTTTTAACGTATCACTCCGCGAATTTCATTTTATTTTCCTTTTTAATATATTTTTTTATGACTGGGGAGCCCAGGCTTCAAAGCCTTCTGGTTTCTTCTGGGCTCCCTTGCAACCTTACAATTCCTATATGTATTCTTGCATTGTATTATATTTTGGCTAAATAAAAATGAACTAAACTGAACTGAAGTGAACGCCTTGCTAAAATTTGAAATCTGGGCAAGGTGAAACTGCAAACGCGTAACTGCAAACTGCGGTTTGCGGTTTCCCATGAAAAGCGTGATGCTAAAGGTCTCTACTAGCTACTTTGGAGACGCAAAAGGTCCATTTGGCGATAACGTTATTAAAAATCCGGCTAGATATATATAAATATATTAAAAAAAAATAATAATAATAAGCCCATAAGGCTGTCCCATCCTTTTTCGAAGATATAAAAGAAGAGCATTATAAAGGCCACAATAGTTCCAAGCATTTTTGCGTTTTATTTGTCTACGTTTTGTTTGCATCCCAGGGGCTCTATCGTCCGTTCTTGAAAGCTTTCACCGCCGTTTCTCCCGACCCAACCGACCGCCCCTAGGTCTCCGAAGATAGAGACAGGGGTAATAGGCTAATGAGAACGGCTGACGATTGTGAAAAGAAAAACACATGAGTGAACGTTTACGCCAGGACAGAAAAAAGAAAACAAAAACAAACAAACACAAAAAAACAAACAAACAAACAAAACAAAAAACAATAGAAAACGGGACAAAACGAGCTCCCCATTGTGGAGAACTGACAGTGGTTGTTAGGAGAGATTCCACCTCATTCTTGAGTTAATATAGAATTTACAGTGGCCTTTTTTTTTGCTTTGAGTTAACGATTAGGAATAATTAAATTTTGGCCGTAAAAAGTGTGAAATTAAATGGCACTATCACACACATTTAATAATGTATTCACATAGTCAATGTTTTTACTGTTAACATTTTGCACGTTGCTTTTACATTTCTGAGATGAAACCTCATCATTTATTCATAGATGATTTGATCAATCCAGTAATTAATTGATATCGAGTTGCCCAAAATGCTCACGCTAAAAGAAAAGACATAGCAATCTGTATCATCTACAAAAAAATGCTTTACCTGTGGTTATTAAATACCAGGACGAGCGTCGTCCTTCTCCCTTAGAAGTAAAGGCTGTCACTGCTATTTGGTAACGTGTAGCCTGTTTCAGGTCTCTCAGTATCATCATAGTAACATTTGCACTGCTAGTGTTAACACTCTTTGCATAGTATAAGTAATTATAAGAGGAGTATTCCCTATAGTATACTTTGTATCCAAGAAGACGTCCATTAGCGTAATGCTGAGAGAGTGGATTCCACTGAACTTTCACCTCAGCAAACTGTAAGGTTGAAAGTCGGATATATGACGGTGCCCTGCTAGGAACTAAGAAAACAGAAAATGCATATTGTTCTGTAGTCCGTTATCTTAATATCTGATTTTGTTTCGTTTGTTTCTTTGTTTTTGTTCTTTAAGCACAACTAAGTTAGGTTACATAGTGTAAGTATAGTGATAGTAACAGGAATATTACGTAATTTGGGGACCCTCAATGGTTCAATGGCTTATTGCGATTAATAAGCCTTTGTCAGAGCAGATCAAGGAATAGGTCATATTACAGTTACAGAAAGAAGCGAGCCTGGAGTTGACCATTCTTTAATACAACCTTCATGCTTCCTTATGTAAATCGTGTTGTTCTGATATGCTAGGTTTGTATCAAAACAATATCAACCTCAGCCTAACATTCACTCGAAGGTCAGGTTACTACGCCCACAACTGTAAAATGTCACGGCTTTAATTTATGCTACATCACTAGTCAGAACAGGACAATAACCACCACCACAACAAAAAATACTGATTACAAAACGTTGACTCCGCGGACACTATAAACGTACCGACGGAGATATTGAACCCAAACCGTTCCGTTGGTCATAGATATTAGATTGATTTAGCAGCAGAACGGGAACGTCAGTTGAAGACGACGAACGCAAATCAAACAACTGGCTTGACCAATGGCTGAGCGACAAATTTGGCACCGGAAGTCGAGTTTAGTCCTTTCCGTGGGTTTTCCCGTCGTGAAATGACGTTGCCGTTGTGTTGCTAAATCAGCCTATCAGGGCGCTTAAGCAGCAACGACGGCGACGGCAACGAGGACGGCAGAAAAGCCATAGGGTTAGATTGGCAAAACAACAACTTCCGACGTGTATCACGCTTTTTTATACATTCCTTTGCCATCGTTGCACGACTACGACGTCAAACTGCCTAATTTCACTTTTTTTGTGGAGGACGTGAACACAAGACAACGGCCCTCTTTTTCTTTTCCTGAACTTAAATACAGCCCTTTAGAATTCAACTCCAGAAAAATTCGCCAACATCTGATGAATAGAACGAAATGGAATAAGCGCGATAAAGTCTTAAGTAGCGCGAAAACACATTTTAGCTGACGTTTTCGAAGTCGTCCCCGTCGTTGTTGCTTAAGCTCCCTATTGACCAGCGAGGGTGGTGGTGAGTTTCTATTACACGGCCATTCTTCACTTACTAAGAGTCTTTTTGCATACACCTGTGATACACGAGATATAAACAAAAAAAAAAAAGAAAAAAACAAACAAACAAACACAACATCTTTAGATATGTTGCACGTACCCCCTTCGTCTGTCCATGCTGTGATCTCTGTGCTGTTGTAGGCATTTCCACTGTAATTAACACCAGCAACAGATAACCGATACTCCCTATACGCTGTCAGTCCAGATACCACATGGGAAATAGTATTTCCTGGGACGATGTATTCTTTTAGACCTCTACCATATGAGTCTTTGACGAATATAAAGTAATAACTTGTTTGTTGACCAACGAGTGTTTGCAGGTTTTGCCAGGAGAATCTTATGCTTGTTGTAGAAGTATTGTCAATGGATATCCTCCAGTTACCCAGTGGAAATGCTAAAAACAAGCAAAAAAGGGCAACTTATAATAGCAAGTGACTTACAACATAGTACATGAGGCCGAAGGTCAAATGAGCTATTCACGCAGAGGCCACGAGGGCGAGAGGAATAATTGTTTTAGTAAAATCCAAGTAGTTGGTCAAAAATATCGATACAAGACAACTTTAGCTAGTTAACGCTAGACAGTAATCCGTTTTTTTCTTTTTGCCGCCAAAAAGCGGGCGCTTCTCGCTACTAGTGGGCTATAACATATAGCCTAGTAGTAGCTCAACCAATGCGAACGCAGCATTGAAAATAGATCACTAGCGAGATTTCGGTAATTATAAAGAGCGCGGAGGGAAAAAAATAATTAGGGGGAGGGGGCGTTTCCTAGGAGAATGACGTCTGAGGATCGAGTGCAGAAATTTCGTGGTGATTACGTGCCACTACCCAGTTCTGGGTAGTGCATCTGATGGGTTGAAACAAATTCTCAACAAATCAAAAGCATTACCCAGATTTTTTGTTTCGCTGCAAAGCGTGCACAACGTTGTGTGCTTCCGTAGCAGGGTTTCAAGCAACATTAAATTAATTTAGCAGATTAAAGGCTAACCTGATTCTTGTTTTAAAATTCCAAATTGTAACTTGAAGGTACTGTAGCTCCGCCGTAGGAAGATCTGGACAGTGATGTTTCCAGAATTCCCAAAAGAAACTTCCCGGAAAGATTTCTGGGTGACAGAAGAGGATCCATAGCGACTGATAACCGTGATACCGTTGCCATCAATAACCTTAATGTACTCACTAAGAACATAAAAATAAATAAACAAAACAAAACAAAACAAAAACCAAGTTAAGAATGACACCTCCAATAAATAAATTATGCGTGCAGTTTTTATAACTGAGTCGGCCAACTGTGTTTATTGGCCAGATAGGTTAATGACAGTCTCGATCGTTTAATAGGGTTTCATTTTTGCCATTGTTAGTCTTGCGTGTCCGGTGTGATCCAAAGACAGACCGTGCCTAAATTGCATTCACTGGGACGTTTTTGTTTGAAAGCAAGGCTAAGTACGAAGGAATTGGTTTGAAAATGATTTTTTTTTTATTCTCGTGAAAATAAAACTCATTTCATAAGAGAGGTTTCGCTGCGTGACCGGCACCATGCATGTTTTGTGAAGAAAGCTTAGGAAAGATTAATTCGAAAAACGTAGACCTTTTCCGGAACAGGTCGGTTGAAAGCGTTGATTACTTTGGAACAAGTGAATACTTCAGTGGTCGAAAAAATTAATCTTAATGAGCATAACTTCGATGGTGAGGCTAACTGGTCGGGTGTTGTAGACTTTCATTGTATGCAAATGAGTCTTGTGATAAGCCTGCTGTCTATTTTCGGCGATGATTGAAATGAAGCGCCATGTTCATCAGGTTTTTTTTTTTTCTCGTTGGTAATGATATAACTTCTCCCGAATCGAGGCCTTTCATTTTCGTGTATTTATTCACGCGTACTCAATCAATTCGGAAGCAAATCGTCAATCGAATACGATACAAAAAAGTTATTATTTTAAGAAATATTCGATTGTCGATAAAGTAGGAAGTAAACAACTTTTAGCGAGGAAAACCTGTCTGGTTTTTCACAAGTGTCTGCTCGATGCATTTCTGCGGGAAGAATTAAACGGTTAGCGAAGATGCAAAAAGGAAAGAAGAGCGTCCTGAAAAAAGATGCTGTCCCGTCTATCTTTCAGTGGTCTAATAAAAAACGGTCCCGGACTACTAGAAGGTTTGCAAACCCTCATCCCTGCGAGCTCAGAGTCAGTGTTTCTCCTCTTACAAGAACACAAAAACTACCAAAACCTGGTGCTCCAGTATTTACTTCTGATCTCTACACTGGAAGCAAGACAAAGTGGAATCCATTGAGCTGCTGGAGAAAGGAGATGACTGCATGGCAGACAAGGGATTTAACATTAAAGATCTATTAGATCAAATTGAAGTGACTTTAAATACACCTCCCTTTCTTTCTGAAAAAGGCCAGTTTGATGAAGAAGAAGTGGAAACTACACAGTCTGTAGCTAGTGTTCGAATCCACGTAGAGAGGGCTATCAGTAGAATCAAGATGTACAAGATTATTAACAATGTTGCTCCCCTGTCTCTTGCTGGGAGTCTTAAACCAGATTTAAACATTATGTTGCATGTTACTATTATTTCAGTCTCCAAACATCAACCAGGAGAATGAGGAAGATTTGTGACTTATTAAGATTTTCTTGTTAAAACATGAACATTTCACATGACTGACACACTTGTATACTTCAAAACTGGCATTGTTGAGTGATTAAACTGTTTGTTCAAACTTATTTATGTATAAGTTATTTATATATAATTTTCCATCCTCTATGGCCCTTGCGATATATATAAAAAAAAATCTTAATGCCTTACTAGGTATGGCACGCAGTGGGAAAAATAAACTTCGTGAACTCTAGAAGTAAGTTTGTGAAAGATTTCAGGTTCAAATTCTATTTTCTCCACTAAAAGATTCTCTGAACCTTCCTTAGAATGGAAGCAAAATTTGCTCCACAACAAACAAAATTCCTATCAAGTCCTGAAGTTGAAAGTTGTATCTATGATTTCGTCTGGGTCTTTGTCTCCATTCTCGTCTGGATAAACGAAAATGTCTCTCTTCAGCTCTAAGCATTCCTCGATTGTCTTACCCCTCATTGCAAATAAGCATTTTATTTCTAGAATGCCAGCCGATAGCATTAGGATCATAAATGATTCCATCAGGGGAAAAACCCATCCAGTAAATATCGGGATGAACTAGCAAACCACATTTATGACTTGAGGTCCTGTTACCTCTTTGATCTCTTTAACAACCACTGGTTCTAGCTCTAGACCATATTTCATGGCCTGAGTCTGCTTGATGCCAAACTAAGCTGCTGGACTGACTTCTTTTATTTTTTTCAATTTCAAGTGACCTTTCCATTCCATATTTGCTAGGAAAGTGTTCTCTTCCTTTGTAACTGTTGGCAGTGGACCTTTCCTAACATATTCTGGTGAGTTAATTTCTACAGAAAAGTCAAACAGTGCCTCTAAGCCGTCACTGTAGACAGACTCAACGAAGCTAGCGGGATAAATATCCCTTAATTGATTAGATAAAGGGCAGGCTTGCAAGAAATTTCCCCAAGGAAGGGACTGATTGGTTGCTAAGTCATAGTATTTGAGCCAAGAAGCATAAGTGGTAGGACTATCAGCTGAGATGTTCTCTCCTAGTTGCTGTATGTTTTCTTCAGTAACTAGTCTTTGTTCAATATTTCTGGGATCATGCGTTACTTTGTCATATAAATACTCCTGCACAATTTTAGGGGACACTTCCCGAGGCTTCCGATAAATTCTTAGCTTTGCAAACTCTGAGGCAAACCATCTTTGTGGTTCAAGTGAGGGACCTTGAGGTCTGTGCTGCTGTTGTAGATGCGAAGTTGGTCAGTCATCATCGCGCAGTTTTACCATTAGGTGGGTAAACAACGCAGATAAATGCTGGCATTTCCCAGTTCCGGCTTTACATGAACACTGAGTGACAGTTTCTATACATCCGTCTACGGAACTATTATTAAAAACAATTCTTTAGCTGTGTGGTGTTTCAGTCTTTCTCGTTGATCGATAACACTTCGTTTTTATCACGCAGCAGTCTTCCGAAGGCAGGATTTTGACGTCTTCAAGGTACGTTTCTAGATAGTACTTGTCCCTTTTCTGCTTCGCGTTTCAAGCCATTTCTTCGAAAACTCCAAAATATATTCAATAATTTTCTCCTTTCCGTCTACCGCTTCCGCCATATTGAACTGTTTTTTTTTTACTTCCAGTTTCCAGGCCTCACTCGGCTATTGGGACTATTGCTAATGATTGATTATGATAAACTATATCCCAATTCAAGACTTTTCATTAGCTTAGCTATCATGGTATATGAGCTAATATACCATAACCTACAAGTATGGTAATTGTACGCGTTAGCTTAAAATCAAAAGGGAGCTAAAAAATTTTCGCTGAGGAAACAATGGCGGCCGGTGAAAATCGCTTCACGCCGGAGTTAAATGAAAAAAAGAAGTCCTTGAACTATATGGGCTATATAGGTATGTGCCGCTGAGAAGGGTATGGTTTTCAAGCAGTTTACTCTAGGATAGGGTATATAAATCAGAGCGTTTGGCTCTAGAACAGGGTATCATTTTCAGGAAACTGATCAGTTGGTTGAAGATTTTATCTAGACTAGGTACACAGCTACGCTAGGATAGGGGGATTTGGGGAGTTTACTCTAGTATAGGGTAGCAAATTAAAATTCAGCTGAACTAGCTCTGGTAAAGGTTAAGGGTTCCAGGCTCCCAGCGGCACATTCCTACCCAGAAATTCCTAAAGTGCCCCCCCGGGGGAACACAAAGACAGTCACAAAGTATGGCATAAAAATATTTCAAGGCAGCAACTTTAAAACATTATTTTGACAATTTAAGCATCTTTGGTGATAGTTTAATAACACGAAGCAAAACAATGCAAGTTGAGACAATTTACAAATTAATTAAGTTAATTGGTTACATTTCACTAACCTTTTCAGACTGGCTTTTGACTTCTGGGAACAAATTTAGTGTTACACCAATCGAAGAAATGAATAAAGAGGAACTCAATGCTTGCCAAAAAAGTTTTTATACATCCGCACGAAAACAAGATAGTCAACTTTACAACAACATGCATGAAAACTACGCACATTGCGAGCAAGGGCTGCATCGCTTTCCTCCCCGGTTTAACTTTTACAACTGCACCAATGTGCAAGTTCACAATAATTTAGCGGATGCGGTTAAACTGTGTCTTGTAAACATTAACAGAAAGTTTTTTCACTTACTCAAGCAGCGTAAATTTGACAAACTTGATGTTGATCTTGGCGTTTTATCATTCATTCAGAACAACGAGCGCAGGATTTGACAGTTTTTGATAGACGTGTGACATGTCATGAAGTGAGTTAAACCGGAAATTATCTGTATATTGTAACATCCGGTTTTTTCTTACAAAATAAATTCGGGAAGATTTGTCTAATCGTGGGGGCGTTTTTAATAAAAACAATTATTCCACTCGCGCTTGTTGGCATATCCAACAAGCGCGAGTGGAATAATTGTTTTATTAAAAACGCCCACAAAATCTCGTTGAATCTCCCTGACTTAATTTGTTAGAACAAACCGGAAAATACAAAGGACTTCCGCTATTCACATGTCACACGTCTATCAAAACTTGCCTAGTCCCTAGGCCTCATTTTTCCTCGCGGCCAAAGCGTTCGGGTCACGTGGTCCATGCGAAAATGTGAGGCCTAAGACAAAAATCCTCAAAAGTGAGACAAAAGTGAGACAGCTCAATGGCGATGGTAAACAAGACCAGTGTTTCGAATTTCAAAGTTAAAAATACATCGCTAAAACACACAGATGGGACAGGAATCTTCAAAGGAATCCTTAGTTTTCTTCAAGTTGACAAAGGAAGGCTTTTCCGGCTTTATAAAATTGTCCTTCGAGGAATTTAAAATACACGGAATTTTTATCACGGCCGATCGGAGCGCTTTGCTTGTTTTGAAACGCCACCAAGCAGCGAAGTTTTTGAAGAATTTTCAGGTACATTTTGTACTCTATAGTCAAGAAAATTACGCATTTGTGAATATTTTATCTTTAACGTTTTATACATTTTGAGATCGGCTTGAGCGCCCTGATTTGAGATTTGTGTTGAATAATTTTTGCCATGTGCTCAGCCGATTTTACTTGCGTGAACGGATCCACGAGCCAAATTTGTGTCACGCGAATTGCTTTTAAGGATTAATTTATGGGCCTTTGAATAAAAATTTTCGAGAAATAATTTCTCTGTCTATTGTTGTGTGTTCTTTCATTGATTAACATTTGCTCAAAACACGATCCTGAGACAACGCATGCAAGTTGAATTTAATGCTTCTCACATCATTACACGCATCACTTCTGTAAATGTCGGCGAATTTTATAGGATTTTTACTTTTAGATTCAGTTTCTGGGCACTTTTTGATACGCAGCTAATGAATTTTATTTGAAAGTATGGTTTTTGTAATTATTCTAGATTTGAGGTCTAAGTTTACAACACACGGGTCAATATTGTGTTTACTTTGAAAATTCGCTAGCGGCAAACTCCGATAGCTCAGTTAGAAGGATGAGATTGAAGGAGCAGTATAAATCTTCATAGGACTATGAATAACATTTTGATGACTTTTCAAAGCCGGTCGGCAAAGTCGATCCTACAAATATCCACAAGAGTGGATATTTGGGGGGGGACAGAGGGGTGACAACTTCCCGCTTCCCGTACCCCGTTCTCCCGCCTCCCGTACCTTTTTGTTCCTTTGTCTCCCGACTCCCGCCCTTTATTGTATTTTTCCCGTCATCATGTAAATTAAAAAGATCAGAAGCCCGGGTTTAGTGTTAAAGCTGTAGGGTAATTTGCCAAAGATGAAAATTGTTACAAGTCAGTTTTCTTAGTTAAACTGAGTTTTCACTAACCTGGTTATCTAGGTTTGACCACCGCTTATGACATCCCACTACAGCAACAATAGTCTCAGTCCACTGTGCAGTGTAATAGCTATTGCAGTTATCAAAGATGCATTAACATGCATTTAGGAATCCCGAAATTACGGGGATCATGCCAAAATGAAGTCGAAGGGCCAAACGTTTTTCTTTGTTGTCTATGAAGTCCAACCGGACAGCGTCCCACGCTGTTTGACTTCCTATTCTAATAGGGAGTGCTTTGGCCTTATCCAAAACAAAAAATTGCGTTGTATATCTAACCACTCAGCACTCTCCAGCGCGATCATTGAATTTGCATTCCCTGGACACAAGTTTGCACCACGCCGTAAAATCTTTAGTGTTTTGCAAACTACAATCGTACAGAGCGAGCTCCCAGGAAGGTCTTCCATGTACGGATTTTTCCACACCACACCGAAAAATACTTAGACCGATTAAAATGGTCTTTGACGACATTTTATTTGCGAGACAGGTCAAACAGACGAGACACTCGACTTACACAGCCGACACACGTGTACATGTGTCACACCACCTCATTCATGAGGACTCGTGACCTATGATGTAACCGACTTGGAAAGGTTTCCAATTTCACCGGAAGTATTGCTCTTTTTTCTATTCTGAGTGCGAATTTACGTTTTTTGACTTTTCTTGTATTAAAATTTTGATTTAGGGCCTTGGAGAACGTTAAATGGAAGTCAAGAAACTTTGTTGGGTTCGTTTCTTTGACCGGATGATGAGCAGTAACAATTAACGAAAGCTTGCCTTTTGGAATTTCTCTCCCTCTTCCCGCCATCATAGAGATCCCGCTTCCCGCCCTTTCCTCTCCCGTCTCCCGTACCCCTCCCGCCCCCTGTTCTCCCGGGCTCCCGCCCCCCTGTCCCCCTCCACTGGACTGGATGAATGAAAAATCAAAACATTGTAGCGATGAACGCTTTTAAAAATTCATCGAGATTCTAGGATTTTACACAGCAGCACAGCTAAAAAAACCTGGCAGATAATGTGAAGAAAAAGAATTTTTAAGTAACAGCCGTCGAAATTACTGTGAATTTGGATTTTCGGTGCAGTTACAAAAGTAAGAACAACGGAGAAAAACTATACCTCGGTCACTTGTTATGAAGTTGTTTGAAGCCACAAGCTGGTTTTGGTGAACGAGAAAAGAAGCTATACTGACGCTTCGATTGCTGTACACTGTAAAATTCGACTAGTTAAAATGACTGTTTTAAATGGTTGTAACTAATAACAATAGTCATTGTAACCATTCTTAACAGTCGAAATTGTCAACAAAAGAAAATTGTTAAAATAACCTGGATTAATACGTGGTTTTAACCACTGAGGTTAGTTGTGATAACTTGAACTATTCTGATTAGTGTAAACGACCAAAATCATTCGTCGTGCACATGTGCTTTAGGGGACATGAAAAGTTATGGGGGAGGGGGGAGGGGAATTTTCGAGCCGCAAGAATTTTTTTCGTTATCAAATTTCTTGTATCAATTTTTTTTAGGCCATAGCATGAATGTTTTTTAGGGTTAATTGGCGTGCATGAATTTTTTTCATTTAATTTTACCCTGCGCGAACTTTTTTTTTGTATTTCGCCAGCCCCCATAAGTTTTCTAATGGTCCGTCCCTTAGTTTTTTCCGCTCGTTTCTTCTTTTTTTTTTCTCTGTTTCCTGTTTGTGGTCTCATGTTTGTCAATTGAAGTGGAAAGTTGGATAAGCTGCCTAACTTAGTTCAACCGACAACAAGATTCTGCAACAAGAGAAAAATAATGTAAAAATCATGGGGGAAATGCGATCATCTAGCGCTTTATAAAACTGTTACAGTAGCTCATTCAGTGATGACGTAAGATAAACAAACTTTGTTATTTCAACTATTTCATTGATAGATTACACGCTGCAAACCGAAATTTCTATGACAGTAGTTGATATAACTATTGATATAACTATTGAAATAAGTTAATTCAACTAGTATTGTGGGTGGTATAATGACATCAGTTAAAAATCAGTCAAAATCAGTCTATTAAAATAGAACAAGACTATGCTTTACAATCCTTTACACTATTACTATTACTTAAATGTTGACTTATACAAACTGCGGAATTGCTTACATGAGCAACAGTAAATATTGTGACGGCTAACAACAACTATCCTCCTCTGATGCAACCGACGGTACAACAAAGCATGACTTCAATTAGTTGACAGTTAAAATGTGGTTCCTATCTTTTCTGAAAAATGTAACACCATCTCTTGTCGTCGTTCTATTTTTTTTTTTT